TACGTGTTCAGATACTACTCTCTTCCCTCTACACCCAATAGCGTCTCGCCACTCACCTGAACCAAGGAATTTGTGCAGTTTATTGATCCATGTCAACCCCACACTATGGACACCAGCTTCATGTGTGCAGTGGTATCTAGAGGGACATTTCGGATCTGAAATTTAAACAGCAAATGTAGGAGAAGGCACTGAACTGAGCAAAACTCATCCTTCAAACCTGCATTGTTGAACATGCATATCAACTTATTGTCCAGTCAGCATTAACACCTTGTTGCAAGTTCTAACTCGTCCCCATTCAAAAATTGAGCTAGCTGCGTTAGCCACCTTATTAGAGTTCTGCATAACATAAAATTACGCTTGAAATACCTGATGAATTGTTTTGAGCTAGTCCTATCACATGACATCTGTATCAATCCACTAGATTTTAAAGGGAAGATCAGTTAAAGCCAGCAGACCAGCATTCTGACAAGCTTCTTGTTCAGAAAGACCCAAACACTTTGTCCTACCTGACCTCCTGCCCCACAATTACATTGGATAGTCTTAATAAGCAGATACGAATTCCTCCCTCAGGATTACCATCCCCACAGCACTTGCTTACATACTTAGGTCATCACAGATGCAACAACTTCTACTTTATAATCCACAGCTGAAAGAATTTAGTATTATGTGACCATATGCAATCTGCCCTTGGTTAAACACCAAAGCACATCCCAGGCTTGCTTCTTCCACAGCTTTCTTGAAGACATCAGGCAAATCCTTATTCTAATGCCACTGTTTATTTGACACCAATGATAATTTGTAAATAGCTTGATCCTAAATGCATGAAATAAAGCAAGTAAAAGCCAACAACCTGAACGACAACCCTACCTCGATGCAGTTTGATTGGGCAAGAGAAATCAGACTCCAAAGGCTCTTCTTCATCTCCTGATGCCAGTTTCAGTGCAAGTTCCAGCTCAACACATTCAAACACATACAGGGAAGGAATTAGATCAGATCTTGGGTCCCATGACTTTTCTGACTGTAAAGAGCATTGAATTCTTCTGTGAGACGTCATTTAAATAGAAATGCCAACATAAACAGCATCAAGAGAGTTACATAATACAGGCAAGAGCATTAACTGCCAGGGAAAGTAGTTCAAGTCCCTTTTTTTTTTCTTTTTACTTAAAAAAATTTATCTCAGAACAGGGTTTCTTCTTAGAAGATCCTCTTTAAAATAGTTCATAGTAAGTTTGCTCAAAAACTGATCTGCCATCAGGATACACAGAATTGACATTTAAAATAAAAGCATCAGAGAATCACAGGGACTGGCTGGAATAGGAGGAAGACCCACTACCTCATTATAAAAGAATGCAGGTTTGGCACTTGGCATTCACGTCCAGGCATCCTGCCATCTTGCAGCCAGGAACTTTGGCTAGAGTAGAAAGAAAAAAAACCACAAAACAAGAAATGGTACCTGCTCGTCATCCTCTTCTCCATCCAGTACCACGCAGTGATAAAGCATTCCCGACTCAGTGGCAATCACCAGGATGTTTGGAACACAGGGCAGGCAAAGGACAGCACAGGCATCATAGCCATAGTTATCTTCTGCAGCAGGGTGCATGGGCAGAGGGCCAAGCAGCTTGCCAAGATTTCCAGTGCTGCAATAAAGAAGATATGTTCACAACACAAGGTGTGGAAGGAGAGTTCCCCATGGTTGCCTGTGGGAGTTTGCTGCAAAATAACTATAAAATAAGGATGATCTTTAAAAAAACCCAAACAACCCAATGGTTTGGAGTTCTGTCTGATTTCCATTAGATAGCAGCAACCCAGACTTCTGCAGATTGAGAGTCTGAACTACACCTGCTCGGTGGAGATCTCAGAGAAGAAACTGGAGCTCAGTAGTAATGTTTTATGCTTTGAAAGCAATCAAGCTACATTTCAACAAATTCAAGAGGAAACATTTTCATACAAGAACACAAAGTACGCATGGAAAGCTCAAGCTAATTACCTTTATCACTTAATTGGCGTCTCGCTTAATAAAGCACTTTACAAGCAGCATTTTGTGGCATGGCATTTCTCTAGGTAGAAGGACTAAGCCCATTTCATTGCCTACAGACAGGATCTGCTCAGTGCTGCATCATTTCTCATGCAAAGGCAAACAGAGCTGTTTCTAACCCGAATACTGCATGTTTTAATATTCAGTTACACTAGATCTAACTTGTAAGTTTTCCACCATCTTCTCAGTTTTCTGAAGTAATCTTTTCTTGTATCGTGTTTATATTCTTGATTCATATTCTTGACTTCTCATTATGGAACATGCCTGCAAACCTTCTATGATCTTAAAGTATTTCTTTTCCTAAGATGCCACTAGCTCATTCAGCCTCATCCAAAGCTAAGGATGTCTGTGCTGTGAACTGAACGCCCCAAAATACACCTTAACAGCCTCAGACCCACCAATCTTTTAACAGTCCAGTGTCTTCATTTCAGATTTCTGATGGTAAATAACAGACAGTGGATTCTCAGCAGTGGAAACTGCACCCTTAATGTCTAGATGAAAAAGGATGACACACTATTCTTGGATTTCAGTCTAGTAGCACTGCCACAAAGAGATAAAACAGGCTGCAATAAAACTCAGCCCAGCATCCATTACAGAGAGTCCCAGCCAAACTGAGAGATGGTTCTCCAACCCTAACATTGTACAAACATACAAGCACCCCATGAAACCTGAGGATGAATGTGATCCTACCTCTGCAGCAGGCTGATATACGTGAGGAATGTCTCTCCGTTTTCATACAAAATGTAAAGCGGATAGGCCAACACTTCTTCACTCCCTCGCTGTCCAAGTATGTTCTTTGGGACTGGCACTAGTGGGCCAAAGTCAAACGCCACCGCGGTCTCTCCCAGCGATGCCGTATAGGCTCTCCTGGGGACGAGTCAGAAAAAGACCTGAAGTCAGCTGCGATTGTGAGAACGCAAATATTTAACCAGGTCCATCGGTACGTGCTGACAAATTACTGCTAAACACCTGTCCATCAGTTCTTTGACACATGCTGTTTTCAGCAGCAAAAGCATGCAAGTAACATCCTTCTTATGGTACCTCATTTCTGCAATACATCCACCAGCCAGCGCAGTTTCACAGGATAAAAGAGGAGGGCATACTGGTATTTCCTGTGTAGTGCAACAGTTTGTGACTTGACTATTAGAGACCCTCAAGTATTTCCTTTCCAACTAGGCCAAGAGGGAAATAAAAAGATCCTCTGTTTTCTGCATTCCTCACTCAAAAAGCCCTTCTTAACCCCATCTTGAAGACAAATGACTACTCTGACAAACTGTGACTGTACAGTTTGTTACCACTTTCTTTTAGAAGGATGGGGAAAAAAGGCGGGGGGGGGGGGAAGAAGTGCAGTTACTATGCTAGGAGGAAGTCCTAGCACTGAAGAAGTCCATGAAAAATATCACATCAGATTTTCAGGTAGATTTATCACTTATTCATTAAAAACACAACTGAAAATACAGAGCTTATTCTGTCAAAAGCATTTCAAAACACAAGAAGCCACACAAACCCTTTTTTGATTGTAAGAGTCTCCTCCTCAGTGTCTGAAAGAGCAATCACTTTGACAGGTGTCTGAGGTACCTTCAGACTGTAAAACCTAGAGGAAAGAGACAGCAGCAAAGTTCATTCAGCTGGCAGCGTTGCACATGTCCCTGCTGATGCAGGAACATCAGTTGGTATCAGTCTTAAAATTTCTCCCATCCTATTTTTTATTGGTAATTCTGCTAAGAATGGCAGGACACAAACATCTAGCAAAAAATTAGACTGACTATGACAAAAGAAATACTAGATAATCAACTACAAACGGGTTTTACCTTATAGTGTTATCTGAAGTCAAGAGCACAATGTGGGGCTCTAATGTCTCACAGGGATACCAGGCAGCATGCTTTAAAGTCAGAGATGTTGAGCTTGTGAAGAACCTTTCCGCAATGGGAATAGTGCTGAAATACAGAGCAGAAATGTGCACTGTTGTTATAAGAAACACAGAATTTACTTCTAAGGGGAAGTGGGGGCAAGAGGAGCTAGAAACCAAATTAAAAGGTTTCAAAGCCATTAGCTATATTATTCTTACAGTTGGAGGGGCAGCTTTAACTTGAAATGCTTTGTTATTTCCATCTGGACATGTGTGCTTTTAGCTACCACAGCTAAAAGACCCCAGGAAGGCTAGAGCACCTCGCTCCTCAGCTTGTGCAACAAGCTTAGAAGGTCATTTATTTGGGTCCCTTGACAATCAGCAAGTCCCTGAGCCAACAAAATAACTTCATTTGCAATTGTCCCCCTACAACCCTGATACAACCAACGCCTTCCGTATCTGTTTGGCCCCCAGAAGAGGAGAGGCTGCGGAGGAACGGCGGCAGGACAGGGATGCTGTTAACCGCCTGAGGTCTCACCCACCTACAGTTCACCGTGGATTTCCCACCTTCAAACTCCGAATTCTTCCCCCAGCGTTTAGGCAGCTCCAGCACCATGAGCCCCTTCGTACCGATGAGCGCCACATGATGCTGCGTGGGGCTTAGCAGCGTCTGATAAACCTCAAAAAGGGGTGGGTTTATGCAGAGAAGGGTCTGAAAGTACAAGTATTACAGTTAAGCACAAGCCACGGAAAGTGCTCACAGAAGCGCGGCACATCTTTATGGCGGACGGTGACTTATACAACGGCTACGAGCTGCAGAGCGGGGCGCGAACTCGCTTCCACCCACGGCCGAGCACGAAGCCGAAGGGTTCCACTGAGGTAAGGACCCACCGAGAGCGGGCTGGAGGGGGTGACCACCCGGCCCGGAGCCTTCGGGGACCGGCCCCCCTCAGCCCCGCGCCCGTCACGACGCCCCCCCCCCTCAA